GAGGACCTGGAGAGGGGAGAGGACGAGAAAGGATGAACACAAGGCTGGACAACGACCGCGCGTTGGTAATGGTTGCTGGTTTTGGAGCACATGTGGTTCTGCTGATGAGGATGAGAAACACTTGGGAAGGCAGACGATGAGGGGCAGGATGGATGATGATGATGATGATGATGATGATGATGATGATGATGATGATGAGGATGAGGATGAGGATGAGGATGAGGATGAGGATGAGGATGAGGATGATGATGATGATGGTGGTGATGATGATGATGAGGAGGAGGAATGATGCGATTTGAAATATGATGAAGAGGGAAATGGGCAAGATACAGGGATGACAATGGCGAGTCTGATGATGATGGTGATGATGACGATGGTTGTGATGACGGTGATGATGATGGTGAAGGTGATGGTGATGGTGATGATGATGTTGTTGCTGATGATGCTGATGATGATGATGATGATAATGACAACGATGACGATGACGATGACGATGGTGATGGTGATGATGATGCTGCTGCTGATGATGATTAGGATGATGTTGATGACGATGATGCTGTCGATGATGATGAGCATGATGATGATGATGGTGATGATGTGGATGATGATGACGAGGATGCTGATGACGATGATGGTGATGATGATGGTGATGATGATGATGATGACGGCAATGATGATGATGCTGATGAGGATGATGATGATGAGGATGCTGAGGCTGATGATGATAATGATGATGAGGATCATGATGAAGATGATGATGATGCTGATGATGATGTGATGATGATGCTGCTGATGATGCCGATGATGCTGATGATGCTGCTAATGATGCTGATGCTGATGCTGACGCTGATGCTGGTGCTGATGATGATGCTGATGATGATGGTGATGCTGATGATGCTGCTGCTGATGATGATAATGCTGCTGATGACGACGATGCTGATGGCGATGATGATGATGACGATGGCGATGGTGATTATGATGATGATCGTGATGAGGATGACGATGCTGACGACGACGATGATGATGATGATGATGATGATGATGATGATGATGATGATGCTGATGATGATAATGATGATGATGATGATGATGATTATGCGACTGATGATGATGAGGATGCTGACGACGATGATGATGATGAGGATGATGATAATGTTGTTGATGCGGGTGATGCTGATGATAATGCTCATGCTGCTGCTGATGATGATGCGGGTTATGTTGCCGATGATGATGACGGCGATGATGATGCTGGTGATGATGATGCTGATGGTGATGCTGATGATGCCGATGATGATGCCGATGATGTTGATGATGCTGATGAAGCTGATGGTGGTGATTATGCTGTTGATGTACATGATGGTGATGCTGATGATGATGATGCTGACGATGATGCTGATGATGGTGACGATGACGATGACGATGCTGATGATGCTGATGATGACGATGATGGTGATGCTGATGACCATGATGATGCCGAGAATGATGCTGACGATGCTGCTGATGATGATGCTGATGATGCTGATTATGATGCTGCTGAAGATTAATGCTCATGCTGATGCTGGTGCTGATGATGCTGATGATGATGAGGATGATGATGATGCTGCTGATGCTGATGATGATGCTGCTGCTGATGACGATGATGATGATGAGGATGATGCTGTTGCTGCTGCTGCTGATGATGATGCTGGTGATTGATGATGGTGATGATTCTGATGATGATTGTGATAATGATGATGATGATGATGATGATGATGATGATGATGATGATGATGATGATGATGCGACTGATGATAATGATGATGATGATGCTGATGATGATGATGATGATGAAGATGATGATGATGCTGATGATGATGGTGATGATGATGCTGACGACGATGATAATGGTGAGGATGGTGATGATGGTGATGATGATGACGATGATGATGATGATGATGATGATGATGATGATGATGATGATGATGATGATGATGATGATGCTGATGATGATGATGATGATGATGATGCTGATGCTGATGATGATGATGATTATGGTGATGATGGTGATGATGTTGATGATGATGATGATGCTGATGATGATGATGATGATGATAATGATTATGATGATGCTGATGCTGATGCTGATGCTAACGATGATGATGAGCTGAGGAGGAGGAGGCGGAGGAGGAGGAGAACACGGAGGTGGAGGGGGAGGGGGAGGGGGAGGAGGACAAGCTAGGTGCGCTCGCGTCATATCTGACGTCCTACCCCTCCCTCCCATCCCTTACCATGGCGCTGATTTTCTCTATCCGCGGACGCGTGTCGTAGCGGACCTGTGGCTCCGCGCGCGCGTGCGTAGTGGGTGGTGGTGCGCGTGCGTGCGTGCGTGCGTGTGTGTGCGTGGTTGTGGTGGTGGTGGTGGTGGTGGTGGTGGTGGTGGTGGTGGTGGTAGTGTGGTGGTGTTGGTGGTGGTGGTGGTGGTGGTGGTGTGGTGGTGGTGGTGGTGTTGGTGGTGGTGCTGGTTGTTGTGGAGGTGGTGGTGGTGGTGGTGGTGGTGCGGCGCGGTGGTGGCGGGCGGATGGGCGCGCGAGAAAGAGGCCCGCGCTGGGGCGAGAACGCCATCCTGAACGACGGAGGCCAAACACCGATCCGAAAATGAGGCCCACGCTGCAGCGGGAGCACGATTCGGAACGATTCGGGAGCAGAAATGAGGCCGGCGCCTCAGCGAGAGCAGCATTTTGGAAAAAAACGCAGGCGAAAACCCGTTTCCCGGGAATCCTGTGTGTAAAAAAACAGTACGCGGGGGGGGGGTCGGATATCTTCGGGACGCCATCAGGGGAAGTGGGAGAGTATTTTCATATTGTGTAATTGTGGAGGGAGGAGGAGGAGGAGGAGGAGGAGGAGGGAGGAGGAGGAGGAGGAGGATTCGGAAGAGGAGGAGAGGATGAGGATGAGGATGAGGATGAGGATGAGGGTGAGGATGAGGATGATGATGATGAGGAGGAGGAGGAGGAGGAGGAGGAGGAAGAGGAGGAGGAGGAGGAGGAGGAGGAGGATCCAGAGATTTTGCTGCTCTCGCTTCGGTGAGGAGGGCCGCCTTGAGATCGGTTTTGTGCCTAACGCCGTGCAGCGCTTCCGAGGATAGCCAGACGGGCTCATAGCACCCACATGCTATGCCTCGGCATCTGGGGGGGGGAATTGAGTGGTGCTCGAGTTGCGCGGCTTGCTGGACCTCGCGCTCTCGGTACCTCCAGGTCCACTGTTATAATCTAAGGCTCCTCGTAACAGAGGCGCTGCCCAGAGCTTAAACCGCTTCAGAGCGGGCATCCGTGCATCCGACAGCAGCAAGTTCGGTCGGAGCTGGCTGGTGGCCGAGGCGCAGCTGCAGTGGAACCGCTGACCTTACAGTTAAGACGCTGAAATAAGGAACAGTTTGGGTCCGGAAGGGGCTGGACGTTCTTCAGGTCCTTCGATGGCTGTTCTTCCAGCCCTCCTCGTGAGCGAAGGCGGTTTTGGGACCTAAGAGGGGCTTCGTTCCTTATTTGGCGTTCCTTATTTCAGCGGCCCGACTGTATCTAATTTTCTCTTTCCAGTGCGCTGTATGGCTTTCTGGAGCTGGACAGTTGCGCCTCAGGATCACAGGAGCACAGGAGGAGGAGGAGGAGGAGGAGGAGGAGGAGGAGGAGGCGCCATCGCACTATGGCATGTTACTCGCTAGCTCACTGTGCTACTGCAACGCTGCGACTATCTATGTAGGCCACCCTTCGGATGACAAGGAGGTTCTGGCGGGGGAAGGGACTCAACGTCTCACTCAATCTATCTCACTATCGATCTCGCTACTGATCTCACTAACGATCTCACCCTTGACCTTACTATCGATCTCTTTATCGATCTCGTTATCGATTTCACTATCGATCTCACTATTGATCTCACTATCGATCTCACTATCGATCTCACCACCTATCCTACTATCGATCTCGCTGTCGATCTCACTATCGATCCCACTATCGATCTCACTATACACCGAGGGACACCCCGGGACACCATCGGGACACCACGGCGAGACACCCCTGGCACCCGCCCGCCTCGCGGCCGGGGGGGATTTCTGCCTTCGCTACCACGACGCTGCAATCACCATGGCGCCGTACCGCTACTACCACTGCTGTCCAGCCTGAGTTTTGCAGCACGTGTTGCTTATGTGCCATGGTCTAAGCGTTCACATGCCACCCTGCGTTTGAATGGTCAGATCACACGATAACGAACAGGGCGTTCCAGAAACGGGCCTCGCCTTCGAGGGATCAACTGGTCTCTTTCCCGGCGGAAGGCCAGCGGAAGCTGGCGGATGTAAATCGGGGGCGGCTCCACCAGCGCAAGCCGCCAGAAGGTCGGCGGAAACCAGCCGAGGTAAACACCGGCCCTCCACGAAAAGGCCAGTTGTTTTGGGTCCAGGATCTTTGGAATGAGCCACAACGACCACGTAAAACCAATAGCGCGTCGCTCTGTCCGCCCCGTGCTTACACATGTCCCGCTGTGCCAGGCCTACAAGGGGATCGACTACCCCGCCGAGTGCGAGGTTTCATGGGAGGAGGGCGACGCGGAGGGGAAAGAGGAGGAGGAGGAGGAGGACAATGACGAGGAGGAGGAGGATGAGGAGCAGGAGGATGAGGATGAGGAGGACCTGGAGAAACGAAATCATAATCATGCTAATTACAGTAACAAGGTAATAGTCATAAGACGAAGACGAGAGGAAGAAGAGGATGAGAAGGATCGGGGTCAGGGGGGGTAAGGAGGGAGCTTCCCTCCCTCCTTCCCTTCTTTTCCCCTCCCTCCTGTTATCACTTCTCCCCTCGTCTCCCTCCATCCTCCTGCCTCTCAATCCATCCTTCTCTTCGACCGTTTGTGCCCCCCCACCCCATACCTGCGCAAGGAAGGAAAAGGACCATAGGAAACCCAGGATGCACCAACGATGTTGCAGTACACCCTCCTGTTCCAGGTCCCCTTTTCATGAATCACTGCTGGCATTCCTTCTCACTATGGCAAACACTGTTATAAGAGATGAACGCCCCCATGGGCTTGCCATTTGGACGAGAGTCCTGTTCTGCCAGGGAAGTACGAGTTGGTAGGTTCAGAAATTCTAGACGCTTCGCGTATCCCCACCAGCCCGTCCAGAAACGACGCCCAGGCGAGTAGAGGGTCGTCCTGAGGGGCTTTTCGGCGTCTTGGGTGCCTCGGGGGGGGCCTCTTTGGGCCGTTTGGGATCCTCTTGGGGGCCTCCTGGGGGCCTCTTGGGGCCATCTTGGGGCCATCTTGGGGCCTCTTGGTGCCTCCTGGGCGCTTCTTGGGGCCGTCTTGGAGGAAATCGATCAAAGAAGAGGGGAGCTTTAATTAGCGCTGCCCCCTCAGAAGGCCAAAATGGGGCCAAAACCTCAGTAAAATCAATGATTTTGGCTTCAAAGAAGAGGGGAGCTTTCATTAGCGCTGCCCCCTCAGAAGGCCAAAATGGGGCCAAAACCTTAGTAAAATCAATGATTTGGGCTTCAAAGAAGAGGGGAGCTTTAATTAGCCCTGCCCCCTCAGAAGGCCAAAATGGGGCCAAAACCATATTAAAATCAATGATTTTGGCTTCCTCGCCAAGGCCGTTTTGGACGCTCTGACCGCTCCCCGCCCCTCCTGTCCAGGTCAGTGGGGAGGGGGTAGGGGGAGGGGTAAACCCCTCCCCGAAGGGGAAGAGGGAGGGGTGGAAGAGGAAACGCTCTAAACCACCGACGCCCAGAGGGCTGGTGGGACTACAAGGCAGAAGGAACGGCCTTCCATGTTTGGCGCTTCCAGTTTATTGCAGAGCGCATCCAGTGTGAACTGGCAGCGGGGGTGCGGGCGGTTCCTGGACCCCCGCCCCCCCCTGGTACCCCCCCTGGTACCCTCCGCCCAGCGACACGAAGCTTGGGCCAGGATGGTTACAGGAGGAGGAGGAGAAGGAGGAGAAGGAGGAGGGAGGGGAGAAGGAGGGGGAGGAGAGGAAGAAGAGGAGGAGGAGGAGGAGGAGGAGGAGGAGGAGGAGGGAGGAGGAGGAGGAGGAGGAGAGGAAGGCGGCTGGACCTCCCCCACTCTCCAGTCCACGGGGGGGGATTCTGCCCGCCCCCCCCCCCGCGCCCCCCCTGTTCGCTGCTGGCAGACGGCGAGGGCGAGCACCAGCGCCGGAAAACGACCACGACGATAACGACGACGACGATGCTGACGACCGACGGTCGACGACCGACGACCGACGACCGACGACCAGCGACCGACGACCGACGACGACTTCGACGACGACGACGACGACAACGACGACGACGACGCCGACGACGACGATATGGACGACGAGCGACGGTCGACAGACGACGGACGACGGACGGCAGACGAAGGACAACCGAGGAGGACGGACGACGGGCGACGTCGTCGACGACGACGACGACGATGACGAGGACGAACGACGACGACGACGACAACGACGGACGACGATGACGACGGACGGCGACGGCGACGACGGCGACGACGATGACGGCGGCGACCGACGACCGATGACCGGCGACCGATGACCGACGATGACGACGAGGACGACGACGACGATAACGACGTACGACGGACTGCGACGACAACGGACGACACACGACGGACGACGACGACGACGACGACGACGACGTACGACGGACTGCGACGACAACGGACGACACACGACGGGCGACGACGACGACGACGACGACGACGACGACGACGGACGATGGACGACGACGACGACGACGACACACGACGGACGACGACGACGACGACGACGACGACGACGACGACGACGACGACGACGACGACGACGACGACGACGACGACGACGACGACGACGACGACGACGACGACGACGACGACGACGACGACGACGACGACGACGACGACGACGACGACGACGACGACGACGACGACGACGACGACGACGACGACGACGACGACGACGACGACACCGACGACCGACGACCGACGACCGACGACCGACGACGACGACGACGACGACGACCGACGACCGACGACCGACGACCGACGACCGACGACCGACGACCGACGACCAAAGACCGACGACCGACGACCGACGACCGACGACCGCGACGACGACGACGACGACGACGACGACGACGACGACGACGACGACGACGACGACGACGACGACGACGACGACGGACCGACGACGACGACGACGACGACGACGTCGGTCTTGGACTGTGTTGGACGTCGTCACTGCGGTCCCACCCGCGCCCGAGCCACGCGCGCTGCAGCTCCGCACGCGCCGCGCGGAGTTCCGCGGGCCCGCGCTGTGTCTGACCCCCCTCCCCGCACGCCGAGATCGAGCTCGCGGCGGAGGCACCGCACGACGCGGCGGGGTGTTTGGGAGGGGTCGACCCCGACCCCCCCGAACCTCCGGGCCCCCTCAGGAGCCTCCTTGTCCCCCGCGGCCCGCTCGTTGAGGCCGCCGTCCTCGTGCCCCCCCCTCGGGAGCTC